TGATAGCCAGAAGGACGTAGTCGGGCCGAGGAGGACGTCGCCTGTGAACCATCTGCCTGTCTGCCTAAGTGCTAGAACATCTCGCACCCGGGAAAAGGAGCCGAGCCGAAAGAATGACACTAGCCTCCACCAGGGTGCCGGTAGGCAGCCCCTTCCATTGAATTGATGTGGCCTTAGTTAGGATTCAAATATGTGACTAGCACCCGAAAATGTAAACCGCCCAGAGACCCCTACGGGGGTTAGGGCGGTATATCAAGTTGAAATAATAAATAAATAAATAATATCCTTAGCATAACATCTTGGTTTATGTATTAGTTATTAGAGATTCGTTCAATGATGTTGGTATCTTCCCTTCTTTCATTATCTTTTGTACTAGTTCTTTGAATTGTATGAAGATCTCTTCTTCAAATGTTTGGTACATTTCCACTGGTAAACCATCCGGCCCTGGTGATTTCTTCTTTTTTTTGTCTCTTAATTGCTTCAATAATTTCACAAGGTGATATACTTTCATTTAGGAGTTTCTTTTGAGTTTCATCGATTTTTTTATAATTATTTTGTATTAAAAAGTTTTCTATTTGCTGTGGTTCTTGGCCTTTGTATTGGTAGAAGTCTTTATAAAATTTCATCATAATCTCTTTCAACTCTTGAGGGTAGTATTTAAGCTTATTGTTGCCATTTTTTAGCACCGAGATTACCTGCTGTTCTCTTTCTTTTCTTATTTTATATGCTAGCCATCTTGTTGGTTTATTTGCATTTTCAAAATATTGCTGTTTAGTATATTCTATATTCTTGGCTATTTCCTGAATTAATAATACATTCATCTGATGTTGCAACGTATTTATATTGGTTTTTTATTACTTCTATGTTTTTGGTTTTCTTCATTTCAGTTTGCTCATGTTGAATCTTGTTTTTTAGACTCTCGTATTTTAGCTTTTTTTGTTTCATTTTCCACGCATACTGATTAATGCACCATCCTGTTATATATGATTTAAACACATCCTAGACCGTATTTATTGAAATTTCTGGTTGCATATTACTCTTGAAAAATTGTTGAATTTCAATTTTTGTTTTCCTTATAAATTCTGGATCTTTTAGAAGGTGGGTATGCATTCTCCATCTTGTTTTCTTTTGTGCAGAATAGAATGAGATTAGTATTGGATTATGATCTACGAATGTCCCTGATAATATTTCTAATTCTTCAAGTTCTTTTGTCATTGAAGCAGAAATCCAAGCCATATCTATTCTAGACCAAGATTTATGTCTATGAGAATAAAAAGTATAGTCTTTTTTCTCCATATTTGTCATCCTCCAAGCGTCGATCATAGTGTGTTCTTCTACTGTTTGCAAAAAAAAATGGTAATGTTTTACCTGACTTACTTTTTCCTTGTGATTTTCTATCTAATTTAGCATCAAAGACTGCATTGAAATCCCCTATTATACATACTTCTTCCATCGTTATGTTGTCTAATATGGTTTTTAATTATTTAAAAAAGGTTTCTTGATTTTGATTTGGAGCATAAATATTAATAACTATCATCTTTTCCCCTTCTCTCATTATTGTAACTGCCACAATCCTACCATCATCTGATCAATACAATAGTTCTGGACCCAATGATGTCTTAGCGTAAATTACCACTCCTCTTATCTTTTTGTTGTCCGTGGCAATGAAATGGTCTTCTAGCTTTTTATTAATCAAATATTTCACATCATTTTTGTTAATATGTGTTTCTTGTAGGCAAACTATTTCTGTCTGATATTTTGTTATTTGAGGATATATTCTTCTCCTTTTTTGAGGGCTGTTTAAACCATTAATTGTGAGTATTTTCAAGTGTTTAGTTTACATCTGATGGTTTGTTTTTCTCTGTCCTTTCATTTCTTTGTTGATATCTAGTCATCATTTGTGATGCAGGTATTTTTGCGTACCTCTTCCCTCTTTTCTGTTTAGGTTTTTCCTGTTTTTGTTTCTCTACCGTATGTCTATTGTCTTCCCCTTCTGTTTCTTCTTCGTCTCTTTCTTCATCTTCTTCCTGCTGCCATCCTAGGTCTTCACCATATTTTTCCAGAAAGTATTCAATCTTAAAAATGGAGAGTCAATCCTTTGTCTTCTTTCTTTATATGTGAATAACAGTCCTTCTGGTATCAGCCATCTGTACATTATATCATTTCGCCTTAATAGGCTCACCAGTATATTGTAATTCTTTCTTTTCTCCCTAACTCTCCAAGGGGTCTCCTTAAGCAGCCTTATCTCCACATCTTTTATCATGAGTTTGTTTTCGTTAGCAGCTCTTAATATTTTATCTCTAGTTTCTTTTTTAAAGAATTTTACATGCACCTCCCTTGGTGGTACTGGAGCAATTTTGAGAGGCAGAAATATTAACCTAGGTACACCAATTCTACTGGATTAATTAAAGATTATAATTTATCAATGAAGTAGAAGCAGAATAGGATTGGCAATTTGTGGAAGACTACTATCAAAGAATGTTAAATTTACTTTTTGTTGTAGAACAACTTGTAAATAATTTGTAAGAGTTTGAAACGAATAAAAATTTAATTGAAAAAAGAATCTAACAGAATAGCTGAAAAAGAACTTCCAGCAAACAACGTGAAGGCCATGTTTATGCTGCAGAATACATTTTTTTAATATATTTATACTTTGTAATATGCCTTGAGAAAGGCAGGCTATAAGTGAAGTCAATAAAATAAATAAATCCTAACTGAAAAGTGTTCCAAGTTGCTTTAAATACTGGAGAGTATGCAGAGAATCTTGTCTATCTTCAACACTGACACCCAATGAAGACTTTGGACATCAATTTATACTCTTAGTAGAGGAAGCAAAGTGAACAGCTGTATAATTGAAATGTACAAGGTTGGATCCCATAGATCTCTTCTGCCAACAATAGGAGCTACCATTCACGGAATGGTTCCATGAGATCCAAATCACTATTTTTTTTCCAATGTTCAACCAATGTAGTACCGGCAAATTCTATCAATTGTAAGGTCAAGATTTCCATCACCCTGAAATTTGGCTCAAAGAATCTACAAAAAGAGAGGTGTACTCTGATAGAATTTCCCTCAAAATTCAATAAAAATGGAATGGAACCTAAGTTGTTATTGAGCATTAAATGTCAAGATTTTACTGGCAGAAAAAGTGCAATGGCAGACTTAATGTACAATATCCATGTTTTCTGAAGCACGAAACTCGTAGTGCTTTAACCCCTGAATTAAAGAGTTCTATAATTTTAGAAATGACATAGGCTTTTTCACATTGTATTGAGGCAGATGTCGTATACTTTTTCACTTCAATGTACATGCCCACTGATATGCTGCAAAGATTCACATCTGGGAAAGTTTTCCATAGAACATTTACACAACTATATTTTTTCTAAACAAAAAACAATTAATTTTGTGAAATAATGCAGCATAAAGAATGGATACCAGTAGGACCAATAGTAGCAAAGTTACCACTGCATTTGTTCAGCTTACTGTTTCTAGGAAACATCATACACATACACTTTGCAAACTGCAAATCAAACAAGCATGCTAAATCAGATCCCAATCCATTTAGGTTTCAGGAAGTTTTCAGAAAATTTTCTGATTCAAGGTTTTTCCGAAAACCACATCACCATTGTTTCTGCAATTATTTGGAGATGAATCATTAGTATGATAGGGTCAATATGAAATGGACTCTTCAAGGCTGCACCCAAGACACCTGCATTTCATTCAGGCTCAAAAGGAAGGTAAATACACAAACAATGACTTTATGGTGATGTCATGTCACATGCTAAAATGTTATCTGACATACTATGCTTGTCTCATAGCACATGGGAGAAATATATACTTTCTAGACTACATATACACATTTTAGGGTGCAATAATTTCCCCAATAATCCATGGCTTGTTTGTACTGAGTCAAAAAAGGTATGTTTCCCTCTCACATGTTACAGATGCACAGCAGGTGGAAGGTATGTCAGCCTAATGATCTATCAGACTCAGAATGTTAAACTCCAAATGGCAGCAGATAATGAACTTTGAGTAGAGGCATACAAAAAGCAGGAGCAGGAATCAGAGACCAAACCTGCTGCAAACAACAGTTAGTACATCTTGTGCCTAAATTCGCACATCTACGCATTGAAAAACTTTATTAACATATAAGGTTTTAAACAGGTTTTTCTACTTAAAACTTTAAATTTGAAAATAAAATCCTGATTTCTTGCCTCAGTCACAGCTTTCCACTGCCCAAAATATTATAGTCTCAGCTCAAATAGTTAACAAATTAGCTAACATTTCGCCTTATTAGTTTCATACTGATTTGACATGACAACATACATCACACTGACAAGTGCAAATTGATTACATCGATCTTTTGGACCAGGAAGCCAGCACCAAGCCAACAGAGGAAGTAAAATGTATGTTGAATTTCCATTTATTGCATTGTTACCTGCATGAACCAAAATAATTATGCCATGTTCAAACATATTTAGTTTGACAGCTTACATCAATCTGATAAAGAATCTCATGTCCATGGCAAATCAAAATGCAGTTAAGATTTATCCTCAGCCCCTCGCTAAATGGTCACAGCAATAGTGGATTAGTACAACACACAACACACAAAAACTGCAAAATACAAAAGAAAGAAAGTGCTTCTCATCCTCCCAGTCTGTTTCAATCACAGTAAGGAAAAAGCAGACACAATATGAGCACATCTCTCCCCACCCTCCTTACTTGTACTTAATGCAGCCTGGAGAAGAGAATTTTGAACAAATTTTAATGATTTTACCCTGGGGGGAAGTGCTGACCTCCCACTTCACAGTGTTACAGCCCAGTTCCCTATCACCCCACCCTCCACAACTAATCCCACTTATACTTCGGGGAATCTAACCCATACCACATGTAATTCATCCAATCAAAAAGCAACATTACATTGGTTAATTAGATTGGTAGAACAGACTTCCTTGTCAACATAAAACCCTTCCAAAAATGGGAAGTATAAAAATATTTACCCCTTGATGTACCACTTTTTCACAGTCCTCTGCCAACTTCCCAAATAGTAAAACATTGATGGTGTCAGTCCTGGAATACGAGTTTTCTGATTCTAGAAAGAAAAATAAGAGCAATTCAGTGTTCCTGTAACAGTTATCTAAGTGCAAGGAAACACAAATTCTAAGTCTTGGATTTGGAAGTAGGTTCCCATGGGAAACCTTCTCATTTCATTACTGAATGAGCCCAAAAGACTTTTAAATGGAAGGTATATGGGGCAAATCATAGTATATTTTTTGAGTATACATAGTGATGACTACAGTTAGGGCCGTATATATCATGCTGTAAGGCACAAATGTAGCTTGCAGCTGATGAATGTAGTTTGCATTTCCAACTCTGTCTTGCAGGAGGAAACAAAAAGACAAGATTTGTGTTTAGCCAATATGCATACCTGATTTTAATATGAGCAAGTTAAATCTGAGAACAAGGAACTGCACCCTTATGAGTTCAGATTTTCATATAGTATCTTCAATATAACATTTCTGCCACTATGAGAACTGTACAGTAATGTTCTTCAAACTCTGCACTAGTTCTTCATTTCCTGTCTTTTACCCATTGATTCTATGCAACAGGTTTCTCCTCCCCACCTCATCTTTATGCCTTCAATGAATGACAAGTATAATGAGCAAAACTGAGAACTATATATTTAAATACCTTGAAGTACAACTTTGAAGAATGCTTTTCCATTTCCAAGTCTAGTTAATGGATAGGAAAAAACAACTGCTCCCTGAAATAAAGGGTAAATAAATCTAATTAATGAGTCAGAAAACACTACAATAAAAATCATTATAAACAGCACTTGACATATTTACCAGCACATCCATTTGTATTGCCTTGCAATGTGTCTGCAGCACCAGCATCAAATTAGTGTTTTGAACGATCTGGTAGCAGAACAATTATTAAAGGTTTTTCTAAACATACACGCTGGTGGTAAAAGCCTAAAATTGCACACCATGCTTGTTTCTGAAGATAATCTAACATTAAGCCAATTTTGTTCAAGTCTGGCGGAAACAAAAGTAGAAACAAGTGGCCCATCTCTTCTATTTCCAGCTGCGGGTCCTTCCATATAACTAAGAAATAGAGGAATGTGAGTCAAAAGATGAATGTGCATGTGGTCCTGCCAAATTGTTTGTATGCTTGCATGAGAAAAATAATATACATACACACACTTCAAAAAGATGCATATGCAGTTCAGTGTGTGTGTACATGTATGTGAAAAAACAATGTGAATGCCTGTTATGTGTAGGAAAATGTGCAGAAAACCTTTTATCCTTGACCGCAATACCAAATTTAAAATTCACAATTTGATGCCAAGATAAGAAAATAATTTCTCTTTTCATTGTGGACTTGGTATAAGTATTGTTTTATCTCTCTCAAGATAAGAGAGAGAAACTGCTTAAATACACAGGAAAATGTAAACCTTATGCATGGCAGAAGACCAGTCAGGTGTACTAATAGCACTGTGTATTAAACTGCCTCCGTTTACAACTCCTCCAACATCTCTGCTAGTTCTCCAAGGACATATTTCCCTGTTTTGAGCTTAGCCAATATAGTAACCTCCCTTGGACAACAGTTAACATGCAGTGCAACCACTGGGATGATTGTAACATATTTTAAATCCGCTTCCAGGTGAAACGGCAGATGTGGATTCTCCCGAGCAGTGCCTGGCACATTTTCAGATTTACTAAATACTTCTGTCAAATTAGCAAGAACTACTTTCCTTGTTAGTTATGCTTTTGTGCCAGTTTTCACAGTCACTTATTATTTTTTTCCTTCCAGGCAGCAGGTTTCAGCTGTGTTAGGTTCTTTCCTCACAACAAGGCTTGCTTCCTCTAAGGATATTATCCATCACAATGAAATAGAATATTGAACATGTATTTTACACTGACAGAATAAGCCATGAAATGTTCTCTTTTTTATACAAACAGATTATGGCAGTAATCTTTAATAGCTTCAACCGTTTTTCTTCCCTCCATATTTATTTTATAAACTGAATTCAGTGGCTGATTAGATTACTGAAGCAAAATTATTCCACTAACAGTGCAAGTATCCAGTAGAAAGGTAAATCCTTAAAGGAAACATAGGTGATACAGTGGGGGTGGGGAGTGGAATACATATACACAACCCTCTTTACTGAATAGGGTTGCCAAGTCCAGACTTACCTGCCGGCGGGGGACTTTGGGTTCGCTCCCGGTGTGTGTGCGCGCGCGCAAAGTGCGCGCCGCATGCACATCACTTCCCTGTGACGTCATGACACCGGGCACGCTGGGGGCGGGGCACAGCCATTTGAGGGGAAAACATAGAGTTTTCCCCTCAAATGGCTGTGCCCCTCCCCCAGCGTGCCCGGCGTCATGACATCACAGGGAAGTGACGTGCACGCGGGGGTGGGGTTTCCCCTGGGGCCCGATTCCGCAGGGGCGGAAATCGGGCCTCCAAAGTGGGGGGAAATCCACCCACCGGGGGGATTTGGCAGCCCTATTACTGAAACACTTCTTACAAATATTTTGTCTCCTTCTGGGAACTCTAACTGGGGATGAGAAGAAGAAGAAGAGATTGGACTTATACCCCACCCTTCACTTGGAGTCTCAGAGCGGCTTACAAACTCCTTTCCCTCCCCCTCCCCACAACAGACACCCTGTGAGGTGGGTGGGGCTGAGAGAACTCTAACACAAACTGCTCTTTCAGGAACAGCTGTGCCAGAGCTTGTGACTGGCCCAAGGTCACATCAGCAGGTGCAAGTGGAGGAGTGGGGAATCAAACCCTGTTCTCCCAGATTAGAGACCGCACACTTAACCACTACACCAAACTGGGATGCACTTATTATTAGACTAATAGAGAAAAGAAAATATGCACATGTCTGTTTCAGGTGCACACACTAAGGAAATTGAGAAAATAAAGTGAAAATAAACTTTGCTGAATACAAACTTCATACACTAGGCTATTACAACAGAAGGAGAGTGAATCAAAGGCATCTGATTTCTGCCAGATTTTTTCATCATTTAAGATATACCATGTAAACAATTCAGACTGAAGTGTGTTCAGGACTGCTTCTCTAGTTTATGTGATTCTTGACCTCAATATGGCTGTCTTCACTGTGCCATTTGAAAGCCTGCATGGGGGAGTGGATGGATTGTCAGACCAGGCCCTTGGGACACCTGGGTTCAAGCCCTCACTGCTACCATGGAAATTTCCTGGGTGGCTTGGGCCAGTCACATTCTCTCAGCCTAACCTACTCCACAGGGTTATTGTGAAAAAATGAAGGAGGGGAGAATGATGTCCTGAGTAGCTCTGGGTCCTTGCTGGGGAGAAAGTGGGATATAAATAAATGTAAAATGCATTTGTAATCTGCAAAAAAATCATTCAAACTTGGGTAATACAATTCAACCTATTATAGTTGGCTTTTTTTAAAAAAAAAAATGGGCCCAATAAGGTGTATGTGTTTTTGGTAAGGTTAGATAAAAACTTTTTTACCCTTAGCAGGTTTCTGGCATCCCTCTCACTCTCATTTTTTTTTCCTTTGTGGCACTGGTTCTAAGTGCACTAATGATCAAGAACACTTATAAATGCCAGAGTTTAGGACTCCACTGTAATCCAAGATTTATTTTCACATCACCTCTAGTTTTATGGTGTGCATGCATCCTATGAACTGCATGCTTTCCTTGCAGCACCTGTCTTCACAGAAAACAAAATAATGTAATTCTCAGCTTATGTCCCAAAGCGCTGCTGATGAGAAGGCATTCAAATTAAGTTCACCAGCATCAAATAAAAGCAAAACATGCTGAGAAGATTAGTCTTTCACATTGTAGTCAATATGAAAAAAGTTTGCACACTGGGCCTAACATATTATAGGCACTGTGTTCATACCACCAGCAGAGAATACGTTTCTTCCTCATCACATTTCAGCACCATGTTTTCCTTGTTGTAGCAGACAACAGAAAACTACTGGTAGAAAGGAAACCAATTTTATGTTGAGGAAATAAAGACAAGAATTATACCGTGATGTGATCCTTACCTTTTTTTTTTTTAAAATGCTCATAAATCTGAGAGAAATTATTGATTTTCTAAATACTCCACTATGTCATCAGATTGGAAATGTTTATCACACTGTTGTTGAAGTTTATAGCTTAACTGAAAACACCGCCATCCATTAAAAAACCCTTTCTACTCTTCTACAGGTGTAAATAATAAAAAATGTTTTAAAATCCTTCAACTATAGTCCTATAGGAATAAAACAAGATTGATAAAACTGACTTCCTAGCATATTTTTGATTGTGGCACAACTCTGTTATATTTACTTCCAAGATGGTGGTGTTTAGACTTAAAACTGGAGGGGGGGGGGGGGGGGGGGGGTAGCATCTCTCCAAAGGGAGAACAGTAACTTTAAAAAGACACTTGTTATTCAAGTAACTTAACCTTGTGAAAATTTTAATGAGTATCAAGATAATGCACTTAAAATCCTCCGAAGCAGCAACTTCATTTTAAAGAAGAAGAAAAGAGGAAGAGAAGAGATGGGATTTATTCCCCGCCCTTCACTACCCAAAGAAGTCTCAGAACAGTTTACAAACTCCTTTCCCTTCCCCTCCCCACAACAGACACCCTGTGGGGTAGATGGGGCTGAGAGAGCTCTGACAGAAACTGCTCTTTTTCAAGAACAGCTGTGCCAGAACTATGGCTTGCCCAAGGTCATCCAGCAGGTGCAAGTGGAGGAGTGGGGAATCAAACCCACTTCTCCCAGATTAGAGTCCGCACACTTAACCACTACACCAAACTGGCTCTCAATGGGTTTTTGAACTGTTCAAATATCTTCAAACAGGGCCACCACTAAAAACAACCACAATTGATACTATCAGGCAGTCTCACATTCCTTGGACACTAGACAGACACTGTAATATAACAGTTAGAATATCAGACTAGAATCTACCAGGCCTGGGGCTCATATCCCCATTCTGCCGTGCAGCTTACTGGGCCAGTCACTCTATCAGCTGAACCTACCTTGCAGGGGATGGTTGTGAGGATATCATGGAAGAGAGCAGGACTATGCACCCAACCATGCGCTGCTTAAAGGAAGGGTAGGATAAACAGGTAAATAAACAGTAAACATGTGACTGTGTCTCAGCCCTTGATGGTGTAGGAGCATGCAGGTTTTCCAGAACCTAGAGCCACATAACACATTGCTTTTCCTTAAAAGAAACCATAACAGAACACATGGAGTATCTGTGTTATCATAGTTTGTCAATAAAAAGAATTGCATGGATTTGCGATTTTGTTGTGGAACAATGGCTGTAACTTTCTGTTATTGTTTGCAAGCTTTACAGTTATACAGAACTGCCTACAGCTAGCATAACACAATAGCAAGTCACTTTTCCAACTAAGAGGAACGTCAGTCTTTCATTCAGTGTGCAGAAGAGTTTGGTGTACCTCGGAAGCGTGCTCATTCCCACCACCAAATGCCAATCATATTACGCACCCCACTGTATAGAAAGGACCACTTTTGGTAGTTGGTACGAACTGTTTTGCACCGAGACTAGTCTTCACTTTGGCCGCTTTTATTTACAACTGTAAGGTCTGCTTTTTGTTTCCGGGGG